TGTGTTCCACTGGTTAGGTAGACTTAGCCCAATCCTGATAGAGCAGGATAGTGTGTGTGTGTGTGTGTGTGTTCCACTGGTTAGGTAGACTTAGCCCAATCCTGATAGAGCAGGATAGTGTGTGTGTGTGTGTGTGTGTGTGTGTGTGTGTGTTCCACTGGTTCAACAAAATGAAATAAAGAGGTGACCTCCATAGAAGGACATGTCTGCAGAGGTAGAGATCCAAGAGATCGTCCTGTCTTCAGGAATGCTGTGCACAGCAATACCTACCTTCAAGGCTTCATTCATCCCTCGGCCAATCACAAGGGTCTGTACACCCTTTTCCACCACCTCTTTTACATCTGCAGGCTGCACACCAGGAGAATGCTGGATGTGGAAAGAGAAAGCAGAAAAGGTACCAATCCTTTGCAACAAGCATTCCTGTGTGAGTGTGTGTGTGTGTGTGTGTGTGTGTGTGTCTTGGGATTGGACCCAGGGCCTCAATGCATGCTTGGAAGTGCTCTGCCACTGCAAGTAGAGATGTATCCCCACCCCTTTTTTATTTTCAGAGTGGGTCTTGCTCTGGCTGGCCTTGAATTTATAGTCTTCCTGCCTGTCTTCTCAGTAGCTGGGATTATAGGTGTACACCCCAGTGCTTGGCTGCAACAGACATTCATGTAAGATTGCTTGCTTGCTTGATTGATTCACTGAAGCAGTGTTTACTGAGGCTTACTTTGTGCCAAGCATCTCAGTCCTAACAATAAGAGAAGACAGTACTGCCCTTTAAGGAGCTTCAATTCTAGTGAAAAATATTGAAAACTAAAAAATTACAAGTGGTACAGGAATTAAATTCAGGGTGCTATTAGAATATACAGAGAAACTGGGCATGACAGTGTGTACCTGCAATCCCACCAGAAGGTTCGTTGCAAATCTGATGCCAGCCTGGGTTACACAGTGAGTTCAAGGTCAGCTTGGATGACATAGTGAGACCCTATCTCAAAAAATAGAAGAAAACAGAATGCAACCAAGAACATGGTGAGATTCTGTTTCAAAAAACAACAAAATTGAACCTCAAAAAAAAAAAACCCCTTGGTATCAATCTCCATACTTTTCCTTTTCTGAGCTCCTTTCTCACTGAAGTCCAATAAATTTCCTTTTACCCTCTAAAACCTATCAACATGCTGGGTGTGGTTACCCATCCCTATTACTAAATCTAATGACCATAGAGATGTGTTTGCCCAGATAACTGGCTGATTGAGGGTGCACAATTAAAATTACTTTAAATGTGAACCTAATCTTCCCTAGGGCAGTCTCTGTGCACTCTCTCATAGAAGAGAGCTAAAAGGTAAGAGACAGAATGAAATATTAAAAAATAACTGATAAATAAAAAGAATCGAACATGGGAAACTGTTTAATTCCAGCTCCTCAAGAAACTGAGGCAGTAGGAGCACCTGAACACAGGAATTCTAAGCCGGCCTGGGCAACATGGATCCTGTCTCAAAAAACAAACAAAAAAAAAACAAACCATATCCAAAGCAAGTAGAAGATAATAAACTAGGAAATAATACAATATAAGAAATGAAGAAGCTGGGCATGGTGGGGCACACCTGTAATCCCAGCACTCGGGAGGCTGAGGCAGGAGGATCGCTGTGAGTTCGAGACCAGCCTGGGCTACATAGTGAGTTCCAGGTAAGTTTCAACTATGTAGTGAGACCCTGTCTCAAAAAAAAAAAAAAAGAAAAAAGAAATGAAGAAAGTTTGTTCTTTGAATAGGAACTTGAATAGTGCTGTCTCTGTTAGAAACTGAATTTATAATTTAAAACCTTTCCACAGGGTAAAAATGCTCTAGGCACAAATGACTTCCTTGTCAAGTTCTTGATACTTAGTGAAAATGTCCAGCAAAATAAAAGCAAATCCAAGGTTGGTTCAGCACTTAAAAGTCATTCACCAGGTGGGTGCAGTGGCGCGCGTGTATGTGTGTAATCCCAGAACTGCGGAAGGCTAAGGAAAATAGTAGGTTCGAGATTTAGTTCAGTGTGAACACACTGGATTAAATTCCCAAGTCATCACCAAAGAATAAAAATTGTGGAGATGGAAGTATTAGCTCAGTGATTGTGTTTGTAGCATTCCTAGGTTCAATCTCCAGGTATCCTCCCAAAGGAGAAAGAAAACACGTAATCATCTCAAATGATGTAGAAAAAGCGTTGGACAGGGCCGTGGGTTTAGCTCAGTGTTTCCAGTGCCTGCCTCGCAAGCGCAAGGGACCGAGTTTGATCCCTGGTACCCCTCCCAAAAAGAAAAGCATTGGACAAAGATCACCGTCTACTGATCTCTTCTACAAACTATGTGAGAAAGGAACCTAGCTCCATGATACAGGATTTCTTAGAAAAACCTATAGCTAAAACATGGACAATAGTATTGAAATACTAAGTTTCCCCAAAATATTAGTCATAATGGATATCAGATAGATATTTGCTTCCTCATAATTTCTTCAGTCTGTTCATTCTACCCTGTTTACTCCTATTATCCCTTGTTTGGATTACTGAAGTAACTTTCAAACTGTTCCACATAAAACTAGCCATTTTTTTTTTTGTATCAGGGATCGAACTTGAGCCCTGGCGCTTCCGAGGCAGGTACCAGAGACGCTGAGCTAAATCCCCTGCAAAACTAGCCCTTTCTAATTAACCATTCTCCAAACTGTAGCCACTTTGAACAAATCTTTCATGTTATCCTCTGCTAAACATCCAACAGCTTCTGTCTTCAGAATAAATATCAAACGCCTTAATGTGGTCATTAGGTTCACAGCAGCCTGTCTGGCCTCAGAGTCTACATCTTCCTCATGCTTTGTGCTCCAGCCACACTGGCCTCCAACAGTTCTCCCAGAGCACAAACTCCCTCAGCACTGTTGAGAAGATGAGGACGCCTCGGACAAAATGTTTGTATATCACATATCTAACAAAGGACTTGTATTCAAATTATATAAAGAATTCCTAAAACACAGTAAGAACATCCAATTTTAGAAATTGGAATATTTGTGCATTTATTAAAGTAGATATATGGAGGGCTGGTACATACAAAAAGACAATATCAGGGCTGGGGATTTAGCTCAGTGGTGCTGCTGCCTGCCTCACAAATACAAGGTCCAGAGTTTGATCCCTGGTACCAAAAGACCACATCATTAGTCACTATGGAAATGCATACTAAAAGCATAATGAGATACCAAATACTAGAAAAGGATACAGAGAAACTGTCTCATACATTGCTGGTGGGAATACAAAATGTAGAGCTACTCTAGAAAGAGTCTGGCAGCCTCTCATAAAGTTAAACATATACTTATGCAACTCAGCAATCACACCTCCTGGGTATTTATCCTAGAGAAATGAAAACTCATGCTCACACAAAAATGTGTATGTGAATGTTCCTAACAGCTTTATTCATAGTAGCCTAACAGCTTTATTTGTAGCAGCTGAAAACTGTAAACAACTCAAATGTTCATTAAGTGGTGAGTAAATTGTATTACAATTCAAATAATGGAATATTACTCATCAATAAAAAAGAATGACACGTGGTGACGTGGATTGAATCTAGAAAGTATGCCAAGTGAAATGAGTCTTGAAAGATTACATAGTGTATTACTTCATCAGTAGCACAAATTTTAGTGAAATCTTTATATTAGAGAATAGTTATTTGTTAATTTCCTGATTTTCATCATTATACTATGATTATGTAACAAAAGTCCTTGTTTTCTTAGGAAATACACACAGCTATTTAAGAATAAAGGGGTATAAGCCCATTGTGGTGGCACGTCTGTAATCCCAGCATGCTGGAGGTTGAGGCAGGAGGATTGCCATGAGTTCAAGGCCAGTCTGAACTATGAGATCCTGTCTCAGAAAAACCAAAAAAAAAAAAAACCCCAAAATAAAACCCCCTGCAAAACAAACTCCCCTGCAAAACAAACAAACTGAACAAAGGGGTATAATATCTTCAACATACTCAGATAATTCAGACAAAAATTATCTGCAGATGGAAAGGATGGTAAAATGTTAACTTTTGGGTTTGAGTGAAAAGATACATGAGAATTCTTTGTATGATTCTAGTAACTTTTTAGAAATTGAACTATTTTAAAGTGATACATAACACACACACACACACACACACACACACACACACACACACGTCTACCTGCTCCCTGATTTTGCCAAAGAAGCAGAGCTGACTAAAAGCCAGGTGCTACCTGCAGGAAAGATGCAGTGTGTTTTCGTAAGCTTCCCTAAGTCTCTTGATTCCTTATGGAGTGTGCATGCTTCAGTCATGTTCCAGAGCTGGTAACAAGGCCCAATTCTGTCACTATTTCCTTTTGGATTCAGGCTTACACTAAGTCTGTGTGTGTTCAAGTCTGAGGGAATGTCAGAGTGTTGTAGGCTAGAAGCCCTGCACATCAGACAGCAGCCAGACTCATGGGCAGCAAAGGCTCATGCTTCTCCTGACTCAGGGTACAGAGCTGGTGCCCAGGTGTCTCAAGACCCAGTGTTCTCTGTCTCTCACAAATATAGGAACAGATTTGGGGGAAATTAGACTGTTTTCAGTTATTGATGCTTGCAACTTTAAAAGCCTTTAAACAATATAAGATGTATTTTCACATAATTGCAACTAGTTTTTAGATAGTGTAAGAGTATTGGATTAGTCACCCTTTTTTAAAAGTTCCACAGCTCTGTTATTAACCCTAGAACCACCCTGATTGAATAAATACAATTTAAAGATCTTAAATTTTCTTTTCTGGGGATATTCCCAGTGAATACTTAATAGAATTGTGAATCAGGGTAGGAGATATTCACCACCCTAAAATAAATGCATTTACAAGAATTATTGAGGGACGGGATTTAGCTCAGTGGTTCTGGCACCTGCCTTGCAAACGTCAGGTGCCAAGTTTGATCCCTGGTACCAAAAAACAAAACAAAACAAAAAATGATTCTTTCATTTAACAGGAGTAGCACCTACTTTGAGTAGTGCCGTGAACCTGACTCTAGGAGCTCACATTCTAGTATAATGAAACAAGGTCACTGACTTCAAAAAAATCAAGAGAAAGGTCAGAAGAGTGCAAAACTCTAATCTGGAGATTCTGAGGCTGGAGACAGCGACCGCCCATCAAGAGTTGCGGGATCAATAGAACTCAGTGAGTGATGAATTTGGCTGCTGCTGCTCTCCATAGGCCCAAGGTGCCTCACAGACTAATGAAACATAACTGCCATGGCCTGTGGATCCAGGCATTGGCCCTGAGGGCTCTCGGCTTCATGCAGAGGCCTGGAATTGGAGCACCAGCCTCTTCCTAAGGCACCCTCGACCCACCACCAGCTCATCCTGTACATCTCTCCATCTAGGCAGACCAC